AATTAAATATTAAAAAATAAATTTAGATTTAAATAATTTTAAATGATTAAAATGAATAAATAATTTTATTTAAAATACTAAAAATAATTTATTTTAAATTTAATAAATTTATTATCAAATTATTATCATAAATTTTCAGTTATAATATATTAATATAAAACAATGTTATTTAACTATATAAAAATAATTTATTGATAAATAATATTGATAGTTAGAAATAATTTTAAAAAATATAATAAACTTTATAAATTAATAAAATTGATTTAATAACAAATTATAGTAATAAATAAATAGTTTAGATGCTTATATTTTTTTGTGATTAACAATTAATTTAAAAATTGCAATTTACATAAATATACTAATATATATTATTTTTTAGATTATTTAACAAGTAAACTAAAAACTTAAAATACATCTTTACTATAATTTTACTATAACTTTAATGACCTTGAACTTTATTTATAAATATATCATAGTGATATATAACTGAAAATTATAAATAAATTATAAATAATAAGATTTTATCAACTATTTTATATCTGTTGTAAAAAAAATACTTCGTTGAAAAATTTTCCTAACCATTTATACAACCTGAAATTTAATATTTGATTAAAGTGGATTTTTAGCTATATTAAATTAAGTTGAAATCGATTTGAGTTCTACATATTTCTCGTTGGAGTTTGAAAAAATGATCAAATTAAAATTATTATTAATGACCAGGGTTATCGTATAATACCTTTGTATGTTATTTTCATTGAGATAGAAAGTCTTATCAATAATGCTATAAAAATCAAGATTAATATGAACCCTTATAATACTATAGTTAATGTTAAACGTCTCATTTGACGTAACTTTAGTGATGAAGTTATTTAATCTAGTATATTAAGATAAAATTATATCTCAATCAGATTCAAATGCGAAAAGAAAGATTTCACACCTAAAAAAAATTCAGATTTTTGCTATTATTTGAAAAAATTTTTTTAATAATTCTAACAATAATAATTCAAAAATTAGATCTATTTATTCTATGATCTTATTAAAGTTAAAGGAAATTGTAGAAGCTTATCTTAGTACAAAAGTTAATAATGCCATAATTATTTCATTAGCTTATTTTAATAAATCTCAATGTCAAGCAATAAAAGATTCTGATAAAATTGTTAGTCACAGGTAAATGCTATTTAATCAGACATAATTTTGTTTGATAACTATTAAACTAATCAGGTTGTCGATTGTATAATATAAAATAATTAGTATGTACAAAAATGGGTAATCAATAAGGCACATTTCCGATAGATATATATAGGTAAAATAAAGTTTAATCAGTATTAACCTGATTGATAACTATTAAACTAACTAGTTAAGCTGATAAATATTATATAAAAAACTTGTTCACAATAAAAATAGGTGATCGATAGGATACCTATACAAGTAAATCGAAGTTCAATCATACATAAATCAATTGACAATTAGCTTAGTTTACATAATCGATAAGGTATTCTGAATAAATATTATTAAATAATCAATTCATAAAAATTAAAATAAATGAAACCTGATTTATAGTATATTTATTTAAATTAGCAATAAATGATTGTAATAAAATTAAAACAATGATTATGACAGATAATAATTATAAATGAAACTGCCTATTAATTGGTATTACTTCCATATAAGATTTACTATTTGTTTTCTTTTTTCTAATGACAAAATTAGTGGGAACAAGCTAACTGTAGATATTATGTATTAGAATTATACTGTCCTGAAATAAATCATAAAATTCAGCAATTTTCCAAAGTTCAATATTAACATTTCGATTATCCTCTTCAATTTGACAATGAAATCTGGTTTTGTGATCATCAACTGGTAGATACCACTTAACATAGGCAAGCCTATGCGTCTTGATGATACCATTCAGAAGCTGCAATGTATATTCAAAAAAAAATTGAACTTGTCCTAAAAATAATTCTATTGAATTGTCACTTTGGGTAAACAATGCTAAAATATGCAAATTTTTCTTATATCAAAATAATAATGCAGAACTGAAAATTTCAGCAGCTATTCAAATTCATCTACATTGGTTAATTGTTAGTTGAACAATTGAATAGCAATTTGATAAATCATTTTGTAACCCTCTTTCAATTAAATTAATCATCAAAATAATTCAATATTCATATTATTATATGCTTTATTATAATAAGTAATCAACCATTTAAATATATTATTAAATAAATCAACCTGTTTATTTATTAGAGATAATATTTCTCCTGGAAATAATTCACTTTCAGTGACTGTATCTCCTGATTTATGACAAAACGACCTCCTGAATTAGAGCAATTCTTCAGCATTGAAACCATCATATGCAGCCAACAATCCTAAAGTTTTCTGAGGTCTGATTAATTCAAGCCCATTAATAAATTTCGAATTATTTTGTTAAATGGAAACTAGGTTGTCAATTTTATAATTTTGCATTATAATTCTTGTTCGATACAACATTGAGAATTAGAAAAGGATCTTAAAGAGCCAAATCAATAAATCAACATAAGTATAAATTAGCTAAAAGGTCTATAATTTATAATTTAAATGCTTACCTAATATACTATTCATTCTTTCAAATGAATAGCACTAAAAAGAGTATAACAGGCTAAAATCTTGACAACATTCAGCAAGATGAAAGAAGAGATGAATATTTAACGTGATTAATTGTCGATTATAATATTCCTCTATAAGCTAACCAACTTTAAGTAAACGTGCATAGGCTTCATTTAGCATACTATTAACAATGACTCTATAAATTAATAAAGTACAAGCCTTAATAAAATTTGCTAAAATTTGTCGATCTGAAATAGATAACAAATCCCACATTAATAGTATTGCGTATACCAAAATGAAGGTTTTTCATTAGTCTGCAATAAATCCAGAAAAGCTTTCACTTGTAGCATTTTTATTAGGAATCTGTTTTAAATCAGCTGAAATTTTAATTGTTTTAAAACGTTTTTCTATTAATTCAAGATCATCTTTGGATATTTTTTCACCATCTATTCACAACCTTTTTACAATTCAATTGGTGATTCCTAAGAACAGGTTATGCATAGGATCTATAACACAATACTGAATTGGATTAAAATAAGGTAATCTAAGTAGCTCTATCCATCTGACAAATATATTAAAGACATGTTTCTTCCTTTCTTCTTGTGTTTGACATCTACACCAAGCAAGAGCATTTCATCAGCATGCTTCTAAATCCCTCTATATAAATTAATCATTCATGTTGTCAAAGCTACTAAAATTAGGTCTTTCTTCTTCATTATGACTACTGGCTACCTTATGACATTGATGATAAGCAGCCAACGCTGATACATATCTGTAAAATTTTCTTGCTACTGGAATATCATTACTACAGCAAATAACTACTATTTAAATTGTTCTGCTACTCAGATAACTTGCTGTTCTTTATAATTTAATACCTGTCCAGAATTCAAGTAATTTATCGACAATTGGTAATAGATAATGATTTATTTTATAAGTCTGAACTCGTTAGGTCTTGGCAACAAACCCAATATTAACATATTTCTTATCAAAATGTATTTCACGAAGGAGGTTGCAGATAATGCTATATATTGCTCTAGTACTATATATCGAAGAATTGAATGACTAAAACCAATTAATATTAATAATTATTCCAAGATGTGAATCTGCAAACTCAGATGCAAAAAACAAACTGCTTTCTGGTTTAACTGACAATGGAAATATTTTCCATATCTCTCCATCGTAAATATCAGCCAGTATATTTTTATTAATATGCTAATATATCTACTTTATCATATTATGTTCAAAGTCAGGATGCTGATACATCGCAAAAATCTGAGATTTCAAATCTGGCATAGAAAATACCATACAGGAGCATTTTATGTAACCATTAGTTACTGGAATATTTTTTAGTAGTGCCATTCCACATTCTGCCTGATATTTTTTCATTGAATAATTAGGAAATTTGATGAATTTACATTTATTATCTTCTGAAATTTTTGCACAATTATGTAATTTATTACATTTTGGACATACAGCATATATTTTTGTAATCTTTCAATTTGTAACAATTTCTTTGCATTATGAAATGAGGATGGGAATTTATGAAATCACCTTAGATTGACATCTTTTAACACTTGACCGAAAAATGCAATCAAGGAATTTATAGTGATATCAAATAAACGAAATCTCAATTAAAATTTATATATCCATAATAATATCCAAGTTTCAGAAAACTCAGTACTTGGATTAAGATATGTAAAATCATTACTGTCATCAAAATTATTCCAATTGGGAGCTATAAATTGTTCGTCCTGAGAAAAATCTCCTTCATTATCATCAGAATTTTCAGAATCTTCACTTTTATCATTTAATACAGATTCTTCATCAGATAATATAAAATCTAAATAAGGTTCATCATCAGCTTCCAATTCTAATTCTTTGAATTTTTTATTTTTTCTTCATTTAGTTTGAACAGAAATCAGTCCTTATTCTGAACTTATGTTTTCTGAAGAACTAGATGAATCAGCTGAATCTGGCAAATTAGTTGAATTTGAAGCCTCTGAAGAGTTCAATTTTGATGTCTTTTTATCATCATTATCCTGCTAGACTCTTTTCGATATTACTTTCATTAATTTTGATGATGTTCTGTATTGGGTTTCCATCTGTTATTCTATTTTCATATGTTTTTTCATGTTTTACGATCAGTTAATTTTTTATTACATTTACTACAAGGATAACTAACTTTATTTCTTAAATGCATCGTTTAATTAAAAAGAGATAAAAAGACAAATAATATAAATTTTAACAGAATTTAATGATATATAAATATTTGATTGTAAATTAATTATTAATAAAATAATTTATATCATTGCATGATTAGTCTGATTTATTATTTTTTAAAAAATTAAAAATAAAGTTACATGTTTAGCCTAATTGATAAAAGATTATTAAAAATAATTAATTAATCAATAGTCTAAGATTATGATCAATAGCCTGAAAGTATGATTTTTGTTGTATGATTTTGATACTATGGTTAATTAATTAAAATTTCATATGATTTTTAAGAATACATTACATTAAAAGCTTAAAAGTCTATTTTTGTAGTAATTCAGAAAGTCTAATTTATGACGATTGATATAAAAAAGTCTGTTTTTAGAAATATAAAAAAACAATTTTTCAAACTTCTTCTTCTGATTTTTTATATTTTATTAATTATTTAACATTAGTTATTTTATTCTACCTTCTGAAATTTATTCACTATATTAACGAGAAAATTCAAGAGTCATAAAAGAGGCAGATCTAGAATAAGAAGTATAAAGTCGCTAGAACTAATAATTTATAAGCTTCCAGATTTCAGAAAATTGAAAAGTCATGAGCCCTTAGAATTCAGAAAATTGAAGAGTTGTGAATCGAAAAATCAAAGAAGCTGCAGTAGCAGTTCATCTTCTGAACCTAGAAAGCTAAGAAAATCTAAAAGCTGCAGTAGCAGTTTGTCTTCTAAACTTAGAAAGCTGAAAAATTCTAAGAGCTACAGTGGCAGTTCATCTCCTGAACCTAGAAAGCTAAGAAATTCTAAGAGTTATTCTAGCAGTTCATTTCCTGAACCTAGAAAGCTAAGAAATTCTAAGAGCTGCAGTAGCAGTTCATCTCCTGAACCTAGAAAAGATGTCAATTTTTTTTTAAAATTAGATCTGAAATTAGAAGCAGCAATTAAAGAGAAACATTTTAGAAATAAAAATATTGAAATTGATAAGCTTTTATTTTGATAATATAATGTTGTATAATTATGCAGTCCTTATTATATCTTTTCATTACTATTTTATAAGCTTCATTTATCGAATAAGATCAAGCGAATTATTTATTAGAATATATAAAATGAGCTGAAAGAGAAAAACAAAAGGAGATAATCCCGAAGGATTTAATTTTAAATTTCAGTGATGTAAATACAAGTAAATTATCTGTATCAAATAAATCAATTGGTAAAAAGCCAGCTGCTCACAAAATATCTGAAAAATATGATATTGTGAATTCTTCTAAATTCTAGGATAATTCGGATAAACCAATTATTTTAGATAGCGATAATGAGACAAAAAAAAGAAGCTAAGAAATGAACAAAAATGACAATGATCAGCCTCTTATTTAAGTGCTAAAGAAAATGATAATTCGAATAATATTCTCAGGAAAATAATATACCTCCACTTATCAGATTTAATGAAAAATCTGTGTAATTCTTTGCGTGTAAGTAAATTATTTTTTTCAGATCATTTTTATTTACGAATTTTATTAATTAAAATTAATAAATATTTAGCAGAATATTTCTAGAACATCCATCGAATGTTAGAAATAACCAACTTGATATTAATGAAACATTTGAATTACAAAAGAGATTGGTGACGACATTAATAATACCTGTTTTATTAAAGGTATTAGATCCAAAAATGTACCCAATTGGCAAAGGTGTCCTTTACGAAATAATTCATCAATACTATCGTCACTAAAGAGAGAAAATGTTAAGTAAAAAAAAGGATAAAGCTATATAAACAAAAGAAACCTAACATCAATATGGGAATTCTCACAGAAAGGAGATAATAAACTAATCAGTTTATTAATTATGTATTCAACTAATCATTCAATATATGATGTATATAACAAATTTATTAATAGAAAAGAATACGAAGAGTTAACGTAATTAACTACTTATAAAAATGGAAGATCTGATTGTTTCGAAATTCTGATAAATAGAACTTAATCCAATTTTAATGAAAAATGTCTATCATAGTTCAGAGGTTTCAGAAGATGATGAAGAATTAAATATGGGAGATTATTGTATTATAATATGAGATTTGAGTTGGAGGAGTAGCACTGTAAGTATAAAATAAATGTTTTTACAATTCACAACAATACTAATTCATTTGATATTTTCAAGTTACATACATTTTTAAGAGGCTACCTAGATGCAATCTTCTATCAGCAAAGACCTGATAGAAGAAAATGCACGTGAATTTATGATAATAATAATTTTACTGCTAATAAAATAAAGGCCCTATTAATGTACTTTGATGGACTAAATTAGGATATATGAGGTTAATGAAGGCTATTATCAAGAAAGCAATATCAAAATATGATAATAGGAATGAATTAGATATATTAAATTCACGTATCAATTCCTATGAAACTCCTAAATCACCTTAGCCCTAAAAATCAGATGATGGAAAAGATCCAAATAAGAGTGACGAATGAGTATGTATGGAGATGTGAGTATTAGCAAGAACATCAACTGTACACTGATTTCTAATGCATTCATATTTTTTTTTAATAGAAACTGACTATAGATTTTTTTTCTTTTGTAATAGCTCATATTTTATCATAATAGAGATATTATAATAGGGATATTATTAGCAAATATATTGTATTTTATGTGTATATAATTAATAATACAATTAATAAATTGGTTAACCTCTACATTCAAAATTGGCTAATACTTCATCATCAGGTAGTACCTAGTTGTTAAATATGGATAATTTAGCATTAACATAAATTATTATGATTATATTAATTGGGCATGCTGAAATCAAACAATAAAACTAACGATTATTTAGCTACACATTAAATTTTTAACAATTGGTTATCAATTGGTATGCCGAAATCAAATAATAAAACTAATGATTATTTAGCTACACATTAAATTTTTAACAATTGGTTATCTACATGTTAATAAATTAATATCAATCGACATGCTAAAATCAAACAATTAAAAAAATATCAGATAACAATAGGTTGACTATTATCATTCTAATTGATAACTATAGCATGTACAATTTAAGCCATTTTTATGCTTACAATCAGGTACCCTACTAGTGTTAAATAAAAAAAATTAGAGTCTATTCATGCTGTAATAGGGTAGCCTAAATGGATCCCGATTTAACATTATCTGACTTATACTAATAATATTGATTTACCATTGATTTTTCGTTACCATCATCTTACTGATCATTAATTTGAAGAGATTTATGCAGTACCATCAATAGCAAGACATAATGAAATTACAGCTAAATATGAATTATGAATATGTTTACCAATACTTGATAACTTAAAACGAAAAAGACACTTTCAATCACCACATAATATCTATAATGCTACAACTAAAAAAGTGTTAAGATTTCTTAAAATTACTATTGATACACTATCTTTAGAAGGAAATTAGCATTTATCTTAACTTAGAAAGCATTTGAATATTCTAAGTTCTGGTAAAAATTACTAAATCCAATCTCTTATATCAAAAGCTTTATGATGTCTAATAGCTTATATTTGGCTATAGTTAATCTATTTATTCTTTATAGGATCTTAAGGTCTCAAAATTTTAAAAAGTCTGAAATTGATAAATTTTGAAGCTAAACAGGTATTTTTTGTAGTAATTTGACAATAAAACTTTAGCTAAAGTGTTGAATATTAGTGACAAAAACAATGTTAATAGCATTTATGTATTCTTTCACTAAAGAAGATTATACTAAATTACAAGAATGCTTAGACAACAAACAGATACTTTTATCATAGATATTTATATATTGGTCATTTTTATTACTATTTTAAGCTTATAATCATTTGTTCTTTATAAAATACAGGCATTCAAAATTTTTGAGAATCTATCAAATTTATATATTAACCTACATTTAAATCTACATGTTAAAATCTACACAACTTTGTTGAATACTGGCATAAGTACAAAAGTGATAATATACAAAATATTTAAGAATATAGTATTACAAACTAATCATAAAAATGTGAACTTGGATTTGTTAAAATGCTACACAATATTATTTGCAGTATGCCATTTATTTGATAGGATATCAATAGTTGTTATCTTTTTTCTATAAACAGTATCTTAAATAATCTTCTGTATTACTTAAAATAACTGATAAATGATTAATTTCTTGTTAAAAAGTCTTTACATTATGATAATGATATAAGTGAAGGTTTGATTTAAGATTTATTTTAATTAATTAATTTAACATTAGATTTTTATTTAATGAGTATTTATTAATAGTACATTTATCAGACGAATGTATCTTAAAGATAACCTTGAAGAAGCATATATCAAAAAGAAAAGACAAAGAAATTTTGTCAGATGATGTTGATTTTTATAAAGAATTTATCAAAATATAGGTTATAATTCAGCAATTTTTGGGAATTTATATTAATTCTATAAATATGCAAGTTTTTTAATGAAAGAAAATAATATTTATATTTTATATTACCTATATTGGTAAAGTTATTACTATAGATATTGTTATAGGAAGATATTGATCCAAAAGATCATGTGATATACATGACTAAAAAGCATATTGATTGCGCTATGTTAGATAACGAAGACAATGAAAACAAGAGAAATGAATTAAATAAAGATTATGTGAAAAAACCCAGAAGTTACCAGAAAATTCTATTATATTATTAATCATTTATTATTTATAATCAATTAGTATTTTATTTATTTATATTAGCAAATTTAGTATAAATAGGATAGCTTTAAGACTTAGTTAAAGTGAACAATATTAGGTAGTAATAGACAGTAGTAGATAACAAAAATAGACAATGATGTATCTTTCCTATAAGCATGATCTGAATAAGTATTATGTATTTTATTTATTATTATAATGGTAATAAA